ATCCCAGCTCTCCTCCATCAACTCCTCCGGGGCTGCCTGGCTGCCGGAGCACATCAGAGGGATGGGGAGGAGGGGCAGCGGGGACCCCTCCTGCTGGAGCTGGCTGCCCAGCCTGGGCCTACAGGAGAAGAGGGTCCACACCATTTCCCCAGTGTTTGCCAGTTCCAGCTTCGCTGTGGGGCTCCCTGAGCCTGTCTCCTTATCTGGGAATGGGGTGACACCCAGTACATCCACAAACACCCCCCTGGGGCACATGCTCTATTGCTGCCCCATTTACAGATAAAGGAGGCTCACCAACCTCCAGGGGGAGGGAAGGACAGGGCCTGGGTTTGAATCTCAAGGCTCCAAGGATATGCCTTTGACAACCAGGCTCCCTGCAAGTCCAGGACCTGAGCTGTGCCTGCAGAGTCCTTGGAGGGTTGCATTGTGCCTCCCCCATCAGATGGGGGCCCTTACAAGGAAGGTTCATGTCTCCTCCAGCAGACTGGGACCTTGTAAGTTAGGGCCATGCCTCCTGTGTTGGACTGGGGGCCTTGAAGTTTATACCATCTGGACTATGCCTCCCTCGTCAGACTGGGGACCCTTGAAGAAAGGCCTACATCTCCTCCGTTAGACAGGGGGCCTTTGAAAGTTGAACCTTGCCTCCCCCATCAGACTGGAGACTCTTGAAGATAGGTTCATGTCTCCATCAGACTGGGAACCCTTCAAGGTAGGGTCATATCTCTCCCATCTAATGGAAGCCCCTGAAGTCAGAGCCACAACTCCTCCATCAGACTGGGGGCTTCTGTGGGTGAGGCCATGTCTCTGCCATCAGCTAAGGAAGGCAAAGCTGGCCAGGCGCAATGGCTCATGGCTGTAATCTCAGCCCTTTGAGAGGCCGAGGGAGGAGGATTGCTTGAGCCCAGGAATAGGAGACCAGCTTGGGCAACATGGAGAAACCCTGTCTCTACAAAAACTACAAAAATTGCCGGGTGTGGTGGCTCACACCTGTAATCCCACCACTTTGGGAGGCCAAGGTGGGTGAATCACGAGGTCAGGAGTTCAAGACCAGCCTAGCCAACATGGTGAAACCCCATCTCTACTAAAAATACAAAAAATTAGCTGGGTGTAGTGGCAGGCGACTGTAATCCCAGCTGTTTGGGAGGCTGAGGCAGAGAATCACTTGAACCTGGGGAGTGGAGGCTGCAGTGAGCCGAGATTGTGCCATTGCACTCCAGCCTGGGCAACAAGAGCAAAACTGTCTCAAGGAAAAAATGCCAGGTGAGGTGGCTCATGTCTGTAATCCCAGCACTTTGGGGGGCTGAGGCGGGTGGATCACGAGGTAAGGAGTTCAAAGACCAGCCTGGCCAAAATGGTGAAAGCTTGTCTCTACTAAAACTACAAAAATTAGCCAGGCACGGTGGCAAGCGTGTATATTTCCAGCTACTCTGGAGGCTGAGGCAGGAGAATTACTTGAACCCGGGCGGCAGAGGTTGCAGTCAGCCAAGATCATGCCACTGCACACCAGCCAGGTGAAGAAGTGAGACTCCATCTCAAAAAAAAAAAAAACTACAAAAACTAGTTGGCCATGGTCATACACAGCTGTGATTCCAGCTGAGGCAGGAGAATTGCTTGAACCCGGGAGGCAGAGGTTGCGGGGAGTTGAGATTGCACCATTGCACTCCAGCCTCGGCAACAAGAGGGAAACTCTGTCTCAAAAAAAAAAAAAAAAAAAAAAAAACACGGGCCCCAGCGTGGATGGTCTTTTTTTTTTTTTAAAGAGATGGGGTTTCACCATGTTGGCCAGGCTAGTCTTGAACTCCTGACCACCTGACCTCAAGTGATCCTCCCACCTCGGCTTCCCAAGATGCTGGATGCATCTTGACATCCAGCTCAGTCAGAGACCCCAGACACAGAAGGCTACACAGTGTATGATCCTATCCCTATGAAATGTCCAGGACAGGCTCCTCCGCAGAGACAGGAAGTGGATTTGTGGTTACCAGGAGCGGAGGATTTGGAGGGATGGGAAGTGACAGCTAATTGGGTCTGAGGTTTCCTTGGGGGGTGTGGAAAAAGTTCAGGAATTAGACAGCGGCGATGGTCGCACAACATTGTGGGCACACTAAAAACCACTGATTTGTACACTCTGAATGGGTGAATTGTAGGATCTGTGAATTGTTTTTTGGGGTTTTTTTTTTAAAGGAGTCTTGCTCTGTCACCCAGGCTGGAGTGCAGTGGCACAATCTCGGCTCGTTGCAACCTCTGCCTCCTGGGTTCAAGTGATTTTCCTGCCTCAGCCTCCGGAGTAGCTGGGATTAGAGGAACTCATCAGCACGCCCGGCTAATTTTTGTATTTTTAGCAGACACGGGGTCATCCGCCCACCTCGGCCTCCCAAAGTGCTGGGATTACAGGCATGAGTCATTGCGCCTGGCCAGTGTGAATTACATCTCAAAAAAAAAGCAACAAGGCCGGGCACGGTGGTGCAAACCTCTAATCTCAGCACTTTGCGGGGCTGATGCGGGCAAATCACAAGGTCAGGAGTTCAAGACCAGCCTGGCCAACATGGCGAAACCTGGTCTTTCCTAAAAATACAAAAATTAGCCGGGCATGGTGGAGGGTGCCTGTAATCCCAGCTATTCAGAAGGCTGAGGCAGGAGAATCGTTTGAACCCGGGAGGCAGAGGTTGCAGTGAGCCGAGATCGTGCCTGTGCCGTCCACTAGTTAGACTCGGCCTCAAAGAAACAAACAAAAAGCAACAAAACAAAACAAAAAGAACCAAAATCAGTGCCTGGCCGTAAGCTCTGAACAGGGGTGAGCTGTTATTCGCTCATTAACCAGGTGAGAAACAAACCTCATCATCACCCAGTGTCTGACAGACCGGGATTCTGGAACCCGGGAGAATCTCTGGATGGTTCCCTGGGCCCCACCCACCCTGGAGGAGCCCCCTATCAGCTGCCTCTCTGACTGTAAATGCCAGGGAAGGAGGGTCCCGCGGCCCAGCCCCCCTGCTCGTTATTACCCACTCTGTGCCCGCCTCCTGGTAGCCCTCCCTGCTTTCCCTCTTCTCCTGGTCAGAAATCCAAAGCTCATAGCCCTATGGGCGTGGTGGCTCAGGCTTGTAATCCCAGCATTCTGGGAGGCCCCAGTGCTGGGATTACACTTCTAGCGCTTTGAGAGGTGGGAGGATCGCCCGAAGACAGGAGTTCAAGAACAGCCCGGGAAACAGGGCGAGACCCTGTCTCTATAAAAAATTTCCCGGGTGTGGTGGTTCGCACCTGTACTCCTAGCTACTAGGAGGCTGAGATGGGAGGATTGCTTGAGCCCAGGATGTTGAGGCTGCAGCGAGCTGTGATTGCAACACTGCACTCCAGCCTGGGCAACAGGGTGGGACCCCGTCTCAAAAAAAAAAAAAAAAAAAAAAAACAGAAAAAAAAGCTCACGAGTTTATATGGCTGATTCAAGGTCACAGGGCAAGGTGAGGGGACCTCCAGCCTGGATCTGTTTCTCCTCCACCTCCTCCTGCCCCTCCCCGCCAGCGTCTCTCCACTCCCCTCCTCGGGGTAGGGTGAGGGGGAAGCCCCAGGAGAGGCCAGCTCCAAAGCATAGGAAAGTCAAATGCCGTTTGATTCTGGCCCCGGGGCCTCTAATTGCTATTCCTGACACAGACTGTAATTAGAAGGTCCCTTTCAAATATTTATACCTCAGACATCTAGTTTTATCCGGCAGGGAGACGACTCGGATTTGATGAGATCTGTCAACAGCTCATCCCGGCGCCCTGGAATTGCCTTGCGGCTGACAGAAAGCAGGACAATTACCCGCTGTGCTCCCTGGCTGCCTCAAGGGGATGCAGCCTTGTCACCAACGATCGCTGATAGGAAAGGGTGGTGTGGAAGCGGGGGTGGCCGTGTGCTTCCGGACGGAGGAAGGAGTTCAACAGGTTTGTGTTGGGGGACACAGTCAGTGCAGGGAAGGGAAGAACAGAAGGGTCTAGACGCCTGCAGCCTTCAGGGGCTTTGCTTTGTTGGCTCCAGGCCTCAGTTTCCCCATCGGGAAAATGGAGAGGAGTTGCACAGCTGATTCCTTGAAGAGACACCAGGCCAGGCCCGGTGGCTCACGCCTGTAATCCCAGCACTTTGGGAGGCCGAAGCGGGTGGATCACCTGAGGTCAGGAGTTAGAGACCAGCCTGGGCAACATGATAAAACGCTGTCTCTACTAAAAATACAAAAATTAACCGAGTGTGGTGGTGGATGCCTGTAACCCCAGCTACTCAGGAGGCTGAGGCAGGAGAATCCCTTGAATCTAGAAGGCGGAGTTTGCAGTGAGTGGAGATGGGGCCACTGCGCTCCAGTCTGGGCAACAGAGCAGACTGTCCCCCCCTCCAAAAAAAAAGAGACTCCAGTGCCACCTAGGCCAGGCCCCATGGCGATGTCCAGGCAGAATGAGCTGTGGAGTGGCTCTGAACAAGTCCCTCCCGGCCCGATGCCTCAGTTTCCCCATCCGTAAAATGAGGAAGCTGGGTGATAACTTGCTGTCTCCTGGGATCCTTCCACGAGCTGTCTGGGTTTTCGTGGTAGAAACCACATCTTTCAAATAAGTAAGCCAAGACTCAGTGAGTGACAGACCCCGCCCCCGCCCCCGCCCCCACGCCTGCCAGGAGGCCCAGTCATAGCAGCGTTGGTTCTGACTTCTTGTCCTCTAACTGTCCCCTCCAAGCTACGACCCGTGCCCAACCAGGGGGCTGGCCACAAGAGGAGAGAATCCGGGATCCCATCCTTCCTGACCACCCCTCTCTCACTCCAGTCATTAGGGGGTATTGGGCAAGCCCCCTCATGGGGAAAGAAAAAAAAAAGTTCTGCCCTGGAAAATTGGCCAGTGACCCCCTTTTCCTCTCCCACCCCCCCAAATCTCTCACCCTTACCCTCAGACAACGGCAGCTGACAACAGGCGGCCAGGACAGGACAGGCCCCTCTCACTTCTGCCCCTCTTCCCGCCCCCACCCCCTCCCAGAAGGCCACAAAAGGACAGATGCCGAGGACAGGCTCCAGACACAGATACCATCTCCCTTCCCCGGGCCAGCTGCCCCAAACCCTCCCCCTGCCCGAGATTAGTCCCCTGGGGAGGTGGGGGACAGAGCGGAGCTCTCTTGGGGGAGGGGAAGCCCGATCCCCAACCTCCCTTCCTTTGCCCCCCTCCTCCTCGCTGCGTCAATATCAATTTCAGCCAGTGACCTCTCCACCAATTTCCACATCCCCACTCTCCCGGTCAGTTTCACCGCCAGACATCGGTTCCATTTCGGCCCTCCGTGGTGGCCATTCCCACTCCCTCTGCCGGTCAATTTCACCCCTTCTGGCGGTCAAGTCCAGTCCCTCATTTCCCGGTCAATTTTCCCCTCCCCTCCCCTCCTTCTCTCCCTCTCTCTCCTCCTTCTCCCCTCCCCAGCTGTGTCCCTCCCAGCCGATCCCCACCTCCCGCGCTCCGCGCTCGCTGCGGCCAGTCTCGGGCGTCTGGGTCAGTGTCCAGCTGCCGCGGCCTCGGCCCGGGAGACTCTCGCCCCCGGCCCCGCTTCCCTCCGCGGGCAGCGGCTCCCTCCCTCCCCAGAACAGCTGAAGGTCTCTGTCACCTCCGAGGGGAGCGCAGGGGGAGGGGAGGGGCGGGGGACGCGGCCGAGGGGAGGCGGGGGAGCCTTGACGCTGCTGCCCGGGACGCGGCCCGAGGCCGGTGGGAACCGGGGCGTCCTCCCGCGCGCCCCCTCCCCAGCGTCCCACCTTCCGGCCGCGCGCCGGCGGCGGCGGGGAAAGTCTCTCCGAAAGCGTGAAGGGGGATTGGAGGAGGTTTTTATTTCCCTTTGTGCGGGTGGCTGGGGCCGGATCGAGGCGGCCCGGCTGGGGGCCGCGGGATTGGGGCTCCCCGCTGAGCCCAGAGGAGCGCGACAAAGGATGCGTCCCGCCGGGGTCACCGTCTCCGCGCCCCAACTTTGCGCGCAGTGCCTGCGCCCCTGGGGAGCCCGCCCGCTGCGCTGAGAGCCCAGGCGTCCGGGCTGGGCGAGGGGCCGGGATCGTCCGCAGGCGGCGCTGGCCCGGTCTCCAGACCCCAGAAAGGGATCCTGGAGCTTCCCGGAGGCGGCGAGCGTTCGATCCGCGCCGTGGAACCGCGCTGCCCGCGAAAACTCCGCGCGTCTCCGCGGATGCCACTCGCCCTGGCCCCTAGCGCGCGGCGTTCAGGGCCCTGTGGGGCGCCCCCTTCCCCCGCGGTGCTTCCCCAGCCGGGCTAAGGTGGGCTTGTCCTCCTCCCTCCTCTGTCGCCGCGTTTTCCTCCCCCTCCTTCACCTTCTCCTTCCCTCTATCCATCCAGAGCCCAGCCAAAGGGCACACCTGACCTTTCTCCTCTTTCCCTGCTCTTCCTCTCCTCCTTCTCCTCCTCCCTGGGGAAAGGGGCCCGGACAAGCGCATGTGGGGGCCCCTCTGACAGTGGCCGGATTGGGGGTGGCAGGCGCCCAAATGGCCAAGTGGCTACGGGACTACCTGAGCTTTGGCGGTCGGAGGCCCCCTCCGCAGCCGCCCACCCCGGACTACACCGAGAGCGACATCCTGAGGGCCTACCGGGAGCAGAAGAACCTGGACTTCGAGGACCCCTATGAGGACGCGGAGGGCCGCTTGGAGCCGGACCCAGCGGGCCCCGGGGACTCCAAGAACGCCGGAGATGCCAAGTATGGCTCTCCCAAGCACCGGCTCATCAAGGTGGAGGCTGCGGATATGGCCAGAGCCAAGGCCCTTCTGGGCGGCCCCGGGGAGGAGGTGCGTGGCTGGGTGGCCCCGGGAATCTGGGTGGAGGGGAGGCTCAGTCTGGGCCCCCTGGATCCTGGAGAGCTTGTTTTATGTGTGATCACAGGAGGGACCCGGGGCCCTTCCCAGCCCTTCAGACTTTC